GCAACCAGGCACAGGGGATCAGACTCACCAACCATCCTGGAGCCCGAAGATGCTCCTTCCCCATCCTTGCTGGGGCAGTTAGCCTTAGCTGCCGCTGGAGGCACTTGGTAGTTTGATGCTGTGTCAGGCTGGGGTCTAGCCCTGTGACTGGGCACCTGACACAAAGCCCTGGGTTACACACACACACACACACACACACACCACACAACACACTATACACTCACACACCACATGCACACATTACACACAAACTGTACACACACACATATACTGTACACACACACAAACACCACACACACACCCCAAACCACACTTACACACCACACACACACACACACACACACACACACACACACACTACACACACACTGTACATACACACATATACACTGTACACACACACACAAACACCACATACACACATAAACCTCTGGCACCTGGCCCTCCCTCCAGGGGTCTGATGTAATTGGTCAGGGCTGCAGCCAGAGTATTGGGATTTTTAAAGTTCCCAGGTGATCGCATGAGCAGCTAAGATGGAGACGGACCTGTCTAAACGGACGGATTTGGGAGACCAGCAGCCAAGGTTAGGCACATTTGGAAACGGGCTTAATCTGATTAGTCTTGCCACCAAGGAGAACTTCTAGTTCTGGGGGCCTCCTGGGCCCGATCTGAGAAAAGTGACTCTATGCTATTAGACTGGAAGGAACGCCTTAGGCCCTGCTGAGCGGAACACTCCTTTCAGCTGGAGCCCAGTGAGGGCAGGTGATGTGCCCAGCATCGCGTGGACACAACTAGAAGCCCAGCCTCGTGACCTTGGCTCATGCGCCTTCCCCAGGCTCACAGACTCATGACTGAGGAGTGACATTGGCGGGGACAAGGACTGTGTCTGTCTTCTAGCCTTCATGAAGAAGGAATCTGAGTCTTCCTGACCCTGGCTCAGTGTGCTGCAACACAGAAATCAAAAGGTATCAGTGACAGTGGTACCATGGGCGGAATATGGCCTCCCTGCTGGTCTAAAGAGCAAAAACGGGACCTGGGTGTCCTCCTGACACTGACTCCATTGGGAGTTTCCAGTTAGGGCTTGGTAGCACTTCAGAACGACACAGAGATGCCGGGACAGAGAGTGCGCCTGGTGCCACACTTCTGAAGGGCCAGCTGGCTGAGTGCAGCTGAGGGCTGAGGCCTTTCCACAACAGGCCCTGTGGAGGTTAGCAGCATTTGGAGAAAAAGCCAGCACATGTTCCAAAAACCTACAAGCAGCACTGCTAAAAATGCAGACCACGTGGGAAATAAGCCATTTGTCATTTGTGATAAGGGTACTGGAGTTAACTCAGTTTAAGGAGAGTTACTGCCCAGCCTGCTGTCCCCGCAGACTGATCAATAATTCCATCCCCCTCCCTCGCCCTCCCACCATCCATCCACTGTCCCTCTCCCCTATGAGAGAGAGAGAGAGAGAGAGAGAGAGAGAGAGAGGGAGGGAGGGAGGGAAGGAGAGAGAGAGAGAGAGAGATTGTGATTTCAGAGGTGATTATTTTGTAAATGTTCGTTTTAAATGAGCATCTGGTATTCTGTTTGTTGCAGTAGTGAAGACTGAACCCGGGGCCTTACACACAGTAGGCATGCATTTTACCACCAAGCGACGCTCCAGCCCCAAGTAGGTTGGCTTGTGTGGCAAGACCTTAGCAGTAGAAGACACAAGCCGAACTGCATCTTCGTCTGCATTCACCTGCTTTCTCCAGACCTTCACTGTGACATGGACATTCCTCAGGTTCACGGAAGTGGCCTAGCAATGCAGCTCTGACCATGGGGGCCGGGCAGGACCCACTTAGCCAGAGCAATAGCATCATATCGGAGGCATATTCATGATGGAAACATATGCATTTTTCTGTATTTTTTTCTAACAGCTTCTGAAGTGTTCATCAAGCCTTTGTCTGATTAAGCACTTTTAAAATCTGAGCAGAGAAATGGGCCCTCTCAGACCCTCTTGGCAGGAGTGCAAATTGATACAACCCTTTTGGAGAGCCATTTGGCTGTATCCATCAAAATTAAAAATGCATATAATCTTTGACCCAGAAACACCACTCTAAGACTTTATCCTGCAGAAATACCCTGCAAAGCCACAAAAAGTATATATAGAAGTTTGGCTCTTTGCAGTTTAGTGTGGTGTAGTGAAAATCTGCAAACAACCCAGGTCAATCAACAAAGAGGCAATCCGAGAACCATCTCTAATATGGGATACCCAGTGTGCCTGCTATTCTATGTCAGCTCGACACAAGCTACAGTCATTTGGAAAGAGGGAACCTCATTTGAGAAAATGCCCCTGCTACATGGCCTGTGGGACATTTTCTTGATTGGTGATTGACACTGGAGGGCTCAGCTCACTGTGGGCAGTGCCACCCCGGGCAGGTAAATCCTGTGAATCAGCAAGCATGGTTTCTTCATAGCATCTGCCTCAGTTCCTTCCTTGAGTTCCTGCTCTGCCTTCCTTCGGTGATGAACTGTAACCTGAGAGTTATAAGAGGAAATAAGCCCTTTCCTCCCCCAAGGTACTTTTGGTGATGGCGTTTTATCACAGCCATTGAAACCCAAGACACCAAAGCAGCTACACTGGAAGAGATCCAACTAGGTGGACAGCCAGGAGACAGCCAGGGGACAGCTAGACACATGAGAAAAGTAAAGAGTGCTCCTGTTTCAATAAAAATAATCAAGGGCCAGGCATGGCAGGACATACCTGTAATCCCAGCTTGCGGGAAGGTAAGAAAGGAGGGTCAGAAGTTCGAGACCAGCCTGGGCTACATAGGAGGCCCCTCTTGAAAACAAAAGGAGCTCAAGGAAGGCAACAATGTCCAGTCTCTGGCCAGTGCGTTCAATTCATGGTATCTTAAATTAGATTTAAAGCCTTGAGATATCAATGAAATAATGTGAGACTCTTGAGTCAGTTTACTTTCCACTGGTCAAACCTAGACCCGTGGTCAAATCTAAGCTCAGGGGAGAATGAGCTCCCTTCCGGGTGGGTGGGAGGCGACGAACTGCATCATAATAATACCCAGTACAATTGTAATCTATCTTAATCTTCCCGAGTGTTCTCGTAACATTAAAGAGGAACCAACATTGAAGAGGAACAAGATTTGTATGACAAGCCACAGAACGCGGGTTCTCACCAGGATGTCTTTGTTTTGGTTCTCTCTGCTATTTCAAATGAGAATCAAATCAGACTCTTAACTGATGCAAAAGTCCTGAGCTAACACATCAGTACAGAAAGCAACATCTCTTCCTTACCTTTGGAATCTCTGCAGGGGCAGCCTCAAGATGGGAAGATGGGCTTCTTCCTATACTTTTTCTTTTTCTGAAATAGGTTTTTCACAGAGCCCAGAATGGCCTCCAAACTGCTAAGTAGCCAAGAGTTACCATTTTCCACCTGCCTCCTCCTCCCCAGTGCCAAGATTCTTCATGTGCTGAAACACTCTGGCTTACGCAGTGCTGGGGCTCAAACCCAGGACTTCGTACATGCTAGGCAGGCACTCTTGGAACTGAGCCCCAGGCCCAACCCTCTCCGATTTCAGTGCATGGTGGCACATGCCTGAAAGCATGGTACTGTGGAGGCTGAGGCAGGAGGATTGTGAGTTTGAGGAGGCTAGCCAGGGCTACACAGCAAGGCATTGCCTCCAACAAACAACAACAAAACCCAGCTCAAGTCAAATCAACAAAGCTTCAGTGACTCATCTGACAGATAAGTTTTTGTTTTTAAATCTGCAAAGGTTATTTATTTCTGTTTTCAGATATATTCCTTCCATCAGATAACAGAGGTTAGACCTTTTATTTATTTAGTCTTTGGGAATAGTCACCTAGCAGCACTGAAGCAAAAACCTGACTAATATATGGATAAACAACCTGGGCCAGTCAGCCAGTATTGTCAGGTCTTGTCTTGGATCTCACAGGTATTTCTGATTTTGTTTCTTAATAATTAAGCCATTATACAGATGTTTGAAGGTCCCCTTGTTACTCCGTACCGATCTTATCACTTCCCAGATCTGACCTGTCTCCAAAGAGTTAGCATTTAATCCTCCCATGCTTGCATTAAATGTTCACTCCAACATTTAAATGGTTACAAAGAGTGTGTGGTCTGGAGGTTGCCAGATTATATAAACGATCCCAAGTCATGCGTATCCCATACAATTCGTTCCTTTCTCCTCCACAACTCTGATAATTTACCCCCAGTTAAACATGGGTCTGATCTTTCCCTATCTGCCATGGCGTGTCTATTCTCTGATGACGGGCATTTGAGTTGTGAGATATAGAAAGATGGAGGGGTGCTCTTACATACTTGTCTAAAGACCTTTTGTTCTTATATGGTCCTGGGTCTAGATCCCAGAGCCGTGTGCACAATGGGAAAGTCTCCTACCGCTATGCTACCCATTCAAGATAGACTCCCATTCTCTGAAGCATCATCAGACAAGGCAGGGATGGTTGCCCTTCCATGCATCCTATCTGCAGGGTCATTTTCAGCCAGGAAGAGAGGTGTACCGACTTTTGCTTGGCCTGCCACCTACAAGTCCATGCTGTTCACCCTGGGGCTCCAGCAGAAGAGCATTTCTCTCAGATCTCCTGGGACTTCCGCATGACCTTCCTATTGCTCCCTCCCCATTTTTCTCTCCGGTACAGTGATTGCAACTCTTGGTCAGGACGCGTGAGGGCTGGAAACCGGTAGGGAATGAAGGACCGTTCATCGGCCTTGTTCTTCCTCACACAGCAATTTTCCTAACAGATGCAATTACATCTGAGTGCCGCGGAGAATGAGATCTTATGTTTTATTTCTTTATTCATCATTATACAAATGGGTTTCACTGTAAAAAGGAAATTGCCTTTGTAGCTCAGTTCTCTATGCTCCGTGCTGGAGGGCTCCAAGCTTTGGTTTTTATCCCAGCTGGGGCCACCGCCACCTTGTTGCTGACAGGGAGGAACGAGCCAGGGAGGTAGGAAAGAAGTCAGGCAGAATTTACTTAAATTCAATATATTTTTATTCTTTGTAAATACAATGAGTACAACCTTTTAACTTCACAAATTAGTTAATTCACTTTGTACAAGAGAAGTTCGACTCATCCTATGCTAGTCCAAGTGCTGAATTTCCCCCCTCCCCTTGGTGCTAGTACCTAATAAATGTGAAAAGGACAGCAGCTATTTAAAAAGGGTTGTTTCTACATTTCCGTAAGTATAGATTCATACCCAAGGAGCAGCGTAGTGTGTAGGACGATGTGGGGTGTGTGTGTGTGTGTGTATATGCATTTGAAGCTTTATTAGAAACCAGGATTTTCTGAAAGGCATTCTAGAGTCCCAGGCTGTTAGCAACGGAATGGTCAGGAACCTGTTTAGCATGCACCTCCTTGAAGTTCCTTCTGGCTTGCATGTTCATGTACCCTCTGGTGTGACTTGCTGTCCCTGCAGCCTTGGGCTTCAGCACTGTGGTGGCGGGACAGCGACCAGCCTCACCAGTCTCCTGGCTCCACTGGATTTGGTTTTGCTGTTTGGAGTTCTCCTGCCCGGACTAAGGTTCTTTCTGTAGAGGTCTTCTGCTTTGAGATGCTGTCCAACCAGAAGTCTTGGTGGGAAACTCCTTTTGGTCATCTGTTCCTTTGATGAGGTTGCCTGGCCCGTGGTGCTAAGAAAAGAAGGAGAAAGAACGGAACAGGGGAGGGGGAGGGGGGATTACACAGCATAAGCTACGTTTCACTTACTCACTTGGTTCTGAAGGCCACTTAATGAAGTATTATGATAGAAGGGAATTTTTTTGATAATACTTTTGATTTAAAACCTAAGCATTATTTTTAAAGTAGACGCTCCAACCCGACCGAGTTCTGAAGGCCGCAGGATGATGTTACACAAAGCTATTGTTGATCAGCTGACTTCGTGTGCTAAAAGGGAAAAGGAAGTGGGACTTGTCTTTCCACTTGGAAGAGTTCAGCTGGATCTTCCGGGTCAGAGGCAGAACGACTGGCGTGGCCTGTGGTGGCCCCAGGTCGCCCACCCCAGGGCATGGCAACAGTGTGTGTACCACGGCCTTTCCAGCCACCCCACTTCCGCGGAGCAGCAGGTCATAGCTAGTGTTCTGTGTCCACTGGCATTGTTTTCTCCAGGTTTCTCCTTCCAGGAGGGTTTGTTAGTTGAGGCTTGTCCTGCAAGGCAGAAATCTGTCCGCTACTGTCCCACCTTGGAAAGCGGGTGATGAAGAGCTTAGATGTCACTGGACTTGTACATATCTGAAAGCAGTCTTGTAATGGGCACATTGCCGATGGTCTTTTTGAAAAATACTTCCTCTATGGTGGATGGGCTAATTGAACGTAAAGCTGGTAAAAGCAACAGGAGCTTCCCAAAGCGGCAGGGTTGCGTGGGGTATCTGCAACGGGAGAAGCCACCAAAGCGATGTTAGAGTCCGCACAAGCAGGGAGCCGTCTCATACCTGAACACACAGCAGCCCAGGGTGCCTTCCTGACCGGAGCCTCTTCAGTAACATGCTGTAGGTTGCTGCAGAAGCATGCTGCAGCAGACTGTGGTACAGGTGCCTCTGTGCCTGTTTCACAGGTAGACTGCTGGAATTCCTGGAAACCGGCACTGCCCCAATCACATGTGCTCAGTCTCTCTCTCTCTCTCTCTCTCTCTCTCTCTCTCTCTCTCTCTCCTCTCTCTCTCAGCATCAGCAAGGGGAGTACATTTTCAATTCTAGACAAATCAGCTTTAAGACACCTGATGCTAATTTTAAAGCAAAGAATAAATGTCACGTTATCACTGTGGGGGATGACCATAGGGTTGATTATGAAGCCGGCGGTGGGAATTCATATTTTTAAATTCCCAACGCTCTTGAACAGACTATTCCTCTCAAAGAAAATGGCTTCTTTTTCTAAGCAATTCTCCCAATTATTATTCAGGCATTATACTTTGTCACTCTCAGGAATAATTCCGCCCTTATTACACTGCAAATTAAAGACTGAGTCCTGTTGGGCGGCAATGCCACCCAGCTTTCATGTCAATGAAATTGGCACATAATTAAAGACGGGAGAAATTGCTTAACAATTTCCTTACTTGATGCCCAACACACATTTGTACTCCGATGTACGTGTTCCATCCCCGCTGTCTTCAGATGCTGTACCCCACCTCTTACACCCTGGTGCTACTCCAGTCAATGGCTTGAAGCTGGGCGTCAACACCCTCTACAGGACAGCGTCCTGCCATTGGGAGAAGGTCATCTTAAAATGAGCTGCAGGGACACATGTGTGACTGAACCATGCTCCACCTAGGCCACAGGTGCCACAAACTGAGAGGCATCAAATTCCTCTGCAGGACTTGTTAACTGTGTTTAGTTGCCTGATCGTCCCACTGTACAGAGACAGTCTAGGACAATTCTACACTTGTCTCTTAGGTCTGGATGAAGAACTCCGCTCAGCCACACATAAAGCTTCTAATTCACTCTGGCCACCCTGTTCGGCCCTCACATAATCAACTTTCATAGGAACTCTTGGACAGGGCACCCGATGACACTTAATAAGTTGGGGTGGAAATAAGGATGCTTATCTACAGTAAAAAATAAATCTGTGTTTTCTAGACATGCAGTCCCGTTGAACATATGAACTCAGTGGTTGTGGCTGCGTGCGTAAGACCTGAATAAAATCTAGTCAGCCGAAATCCCAATGTGAATGGGGAGGGGCTCGAGAAATCTCATCCCTGGATAACCTTGGATGAGGAGCTTTTGGCAGCTGATGGATGCTGGGAGAAGGAGCACAGTTTCCTGTAGGGAAGCAGCCCCAGGTACGTTGCCTGTGCTCCAGAGGATAGCCTTAGCACATGCAGGCTCTACCAACTGGACTTGATGGGGTTTGCTTTGCTTTGTTTTCTTTTGTTTTTAAAGAGTGCATGAAATTGGGAGGGAGATGGGAATGGGAATGGGTTTGAAATTATTAAAGAATAAAGATACATTTTTAATTATTTTGTAGAATATGTACCCCTGATTTCACCCATTAACATTCTAAATGTTTTGTGCCTATCACAGATTCAGGATCTGAAGCTCGACTATGGCGTTGTAATATTCCAGTTCCTAGCCAGCTCCATATATCCTGGATAACTAGAGCAGTTGATTATAAAACACTAACAGACATGTAAGTTTGCATGTTAACTTTTCCATTTCACATGTTGTTTTTCCAGGTAGGGACATCCTTAGAGTGTGCACTGATTTGAAAGGGCCAAGACAAAAAGGAACAGTTCTTTTGTCATGTATCTGACTCTAGACATTTTATAGTTCCAGCTGATACTGTGAGCTGGAAGTTCCATGACAAAGCAGACGCCTTCCAGTCACCTTCAGATACTTGAGGGTGAGCTGCGGTGTCCTCACTGTGTCTCAACAACAGACTGTGATCATCTGCGGTGGGATTCTCCCAGGCCACCCTGTCAGCAGCTCTGGAGTCCCAGGTCACTTCAGAGTCTCCCTGCTTATCTCTGCAGAAGCTTACAGAACACCTCCAGCACATCTCGGGGGGGACCCCACCCCCTGGTGCTGCCCCTTCCCTTCTCTACTGAAATCCCTCTGCCATGCAAGGCCCATTTCACATGCCATCTCCTTCCTGCACCTTCCTCACTCTTTTCCAATTAGAGTTCAGGCCTCCCCTTTCCTGAGTGAAGCGACGTTTCTGCCCACTTCCCACAATTCGCCTAGTTCTTTCTGATAATGCATCATTCGCCTATGGATGGTGACTCCCTAGCAAAGGCCTGGTTGAATCAAAAACCAAGTTCCATGTTCTCTGGTTAGTGTTCTGAATATTCTCCAGGCTCTGAGTGCCAAAGGTTAGCTGTGGTACACAGTCAGCTTTGATGGCCAGATTATGTATGGTTTCATTTTGTGAATCTGAATTACAAAATTAAGTGCCTGCAGTTATTATACTATAGTTCAAGGTGGATTTTAAATTTCCCAGCCATCGAACTTTACTTTGAAAAAGCATAGTTACACGAGCTACCAAGCAATGCCATTTCAATGGTATTTTATAAACAAGGAACAATTTCACTCGTTCAGCATCCAAAGGGTGATTTGTGACCGAAATAAGGAGCTCCTAGCGCCCACAGGTACTGCTGACTTGGGATCTCTCTGACCCCTCGGGTGAGGGAGACTTTAACGGCCTCTGTCCATAGGAGGTGTCTATAGACACCACCATGGTGTCGATGCTAGTGTTGAAGTGATATAGACAGGCTTCCATGAATCCCTTTTGAATTCTATTCCCAATCTCAGATCCATTGCAGTCCCAACCTAGGAAGCTTGAGAGGTTTCATTACTCCTTTAAAAACCTGGCTCGTTTCTTCTGAAAATGGAATCAGGAAGCTCACACTGGTGCTGGGTTGGGGGAACTTTATTGAGCTCCCATGTTGGAGAGTATCTAAGAGTTTCTACCAATTTCCAATGTCAGTCAGAGGACCCTGCCCAGACAGAAGTAACGTGGTGGGTGCTGGGACCCCAGATAGCTCAGCAGACACCAATCACCAAACCCAAGCAATAGTGGGGGCCAGAGTCAAGATGGTCTTGTGAAGCCCTGCGTTCCTTGAACTTGGGATTGGCCTCTAAAGAAGGGTACCTGTCCAAGGATTATCAGAACACTTTCTAATCTAGCAACCTGTGTTTCAGACCTGGCTGCTTTTTGACTCCCTCCATGCCCAGACTCACAAATATGAGCAGCTCCTTTTGTTGGTCAGCTCATTCAGCCGGCATAGCCTGCTGTGCCTGGCAAAGCCCTTTTCTCTCATCACCTAATTCAATTTGCCCTTCTCGCCCTCCTCCCAGAGACAGGTGAGGACACAGATTCTAACTAAATTAACTGACTGGCAACAGGATAATTAGTCACAGTGTTTGAACTGGCTTCTTACTGCCTGCTGGAACATTCACAATGGAGGCAATTTTCTTAAGTACATGTTCACAGCAAATAGCGGTCACCTGGTGTGGATGTAGCTGTTGAGAGTTAGCTGAGCTTCATCTTGAAGAGCAGCAATGGCGGCAGCATTCCGGAAACTTCTCAGTTCAGAACCGCTGTGTGTAGGAACTAGAAACCAAGGCCAGGAAACCGTGAGAGACAGAATAAAGAGGTCTGTGGGCTCACAGGGCACTGGAGGTGGGTGACAATCTGGAGAATAGGGAGGACTGCCTGTGGGCTCACAGGGCACTGGAGGTGGATGACAATCTGGAGAATAGGAGGACTGCCTGTGGGCTCACAGGGCACTGGAGGTGGATGACAATCTGGAGAATAGGGAGGACTGCCTGTGGGCTCACAGGGCACTGGAGGTGGATGACAATCTGGAGAATAGGGAGGACTGCCTGTGGGCTCACAGGGCACTGGAGGTGGATGACAATCTGGAGAATAGGGAGGACTGTGGGCTCCCAGGACACTGGAGGTGGATGACAATCTGGAGAATAGGGAGGACTGTGGGCTCCCAGGACACTGGAGGTGGATGGTAACCCTGAAAGCATGCAGGTCTCCACAGCTGTGAAAGACTGGGCCAACTTCAGAGTATCACCCCCAAGAAAATACTGCTGCACCTACTGCTCCCCCGCCCCCCTCCAGTCTAGAAATGGACCTTGAAGTAGCTGAACTAGTGGGGCGGCAAAAGGAGAGGAGGGAGAGGCAGGAGTCTCTCTGTCTGCTTACCAGCTTTGAAAGTGACAATGCATTTCAGACAGGCAAATTCAGTGGCGTCTAATCGGAGCTGTCTGAACCGCGCCACCACCTCCTGCAAAGCCTGTATTTCAGATATGATTTTGTTCAGCTTCTGGGAATCTGTGTTGTCACTATTCATGCCTAGAATTGAAATATGGGATAAATACTCTAATATGAAGGCATTTTCATGTTTTAATATTGATTTTTGACAAAATCCTGCATATCAATATCTATTCAATTGTCACTCTGAGATATGTGATTCCATGTAAACTGGCTATATTGTATGAAAGTTAATATAAAATCTTCCCTTGGATGATAACAAACACAGTAATTTGCATTTAAATAACAATGCAAGCAGTCATGAATACAACAAAACAACATTATTTGCATTTAAATATAGATTTATAAATGACAGGTATACTCTATTGTTCAGCAGGAATTTGTTATTCTTTACATGTTGTTCTTTTTTCAGTAATGTATTTTTATGGTAATTTCTACAACAAAGTCATTAAATTGTGCAATTCTTACCAGATACAGCCAGTAGAGTGTTAGCATCAACCGGAATGGCCCATTGTGCTATTCCTAGAACAAACAGTTCTCTCCACGCGTCTTCCAAAAGCATCAGCTGTCATACAATAGATGTATAATATAATATAGTGTGTAATTTATAAATTTATAAACAATTTCCATATGTAAATTTCCTTTAAAGTGTTTTAAATGCCTGTCTTGGTAAAAAAAAAATTCCAAATAATCTATTTTCCTCTTATTTTCCCCATTTTCCTGTTTTGAAGCTGTGCCTATAGACACCCACATGCGGCTCAGAGTCAAAGCGGGCTTTGCCTTTCACGTCCTTGCCACCACCTAGGAACTTCTCTAGAGACCGAAAATCCATAAAATGCCACCCGCGGCTGAGCAGGTGTGTTGCTCTGGTGTAAACCAGTAAGACTCCTGCCTAAGCTTGTAGGTCAGGGTCCCCATCTTCCTAGAGAGCCGAGGGGGCTGGGAGAGAAGGGGAGGGGGAGGGGGGAAATCAGGGTGTAATTATGTTAATCGGGTTTTGCTGAGTTTACCTCGCCTCCCAGCCTGATTTCTCTGAGACTCATAAGTGGACAGCATCAAGGTGCTTGTCGTTTTCATTCTAATAAAATGTGCTGTTGAATATTTAAAATGAAAATCTGGCTCCTTTCCCAAATTAATGTCCTGGATTCCACTTCACCGTAGTTTGCTTATTGTTGAAGGGTTTCCAGCAAAAGGCTAAGTGCCAGACAGGAAGTGAATTTTATTTGGATTACAGTCTACAAATTCTTGTTTTCAGAAAAAAAAGTAGTCAATTTTTATATATACATGTATGTGTGTGAGTGTGTTACACACACTCATTCACCCACCCACAGGGAGAGAGAGAGAGAAGAGAGAAAGAGAGAGAGAGAGAGAGAGAGAGAGAGAGAGGAGAAGAGAGAGCATTCATGCAAAAGATTAAAGGGCAACTGGTAACCCTGGTCAAAGACATTACCTATAACCTTGAAAACAATTCTCTATGTCTAAAAATCTTTCAAAAACCAAAAAATTCTAGATTATTATGCTGGATGATTTATATGAAAGAATTTACTTCCGAAAGCTAAGAATCATGAAGGTTTGCAACTATTTTCACAATTAGACCAAAATGTTTAATTTTTAAAATGCTTCATTTTTTTATCTTATTGCATTGAGTACAGAAAATAAATTTTAGATTAGAGGTGAACAATAATTGTGGCCATATTTCATGCTATGATTAGTTAGGTATGAAGAGAATTGAGCCCTCTGCTCTCAGAACTATGGGTGTGAGGCAGAGGCAGGGCACTCCCTGAGCAATGCAAGGTCCAGGTTTGATTACAACTATCCAAAAAAGAAAAAGAAGCAAAAAATTGCTTATTAGCCTTTTGAAAAAAAGTTATTAATTTTTGTGATTACCCTTAGCAGCCAATAGTTTTGCCTACTCTGTTTCTTTCTTCCTCTTATGAATAAAAAAATACATTGACAAAAAGGACAACTTTTAATATTCCTAGCAGGAAATTTTATGGGGTTTGCTAAAATGCAGGTTTTTTTTAGATGCACATAATTTTCTTACTTTTGAACATCATGTATAACCAAAGAACTATGTAAAAATGCTTTTTTGTTGTTGTTGTTGTTTCCAAAAGTTCTGAAAGCAGTGAAAGAATCAGGGATGCGGTATGCCGTGAGCAAACTTTCCTCACACACAAAGCCATGGACCTGATCCCCAACAATGCCCCCAAGCAGATCACCAAGAATACAACACGATATTAGTCAACACGAGATGTGCCTCTTGGTTCTCCATGGCGACAAGCCATTATTAGCCCAAGCTGTGGTACATCACAGTGGAGAATAAAAAGCTGAAGACCTAAAGACATAAAAACCCCACCAGTGAACATTCTACCACCTTCTATTCTTCTCGGCTGGAGTGTTCACAAGAAAACATCATTTCATCAATAGTTTTCCGTGGAGCCCAGACTGGCTTCAAATTCCAGGTTCTCCTACCTCAGCCTCCTAAGTGCTAGGATTACAGATGTGCGTCCTAATTCTTGGCTCATCGCCAGTGTTAGAGAACATTAAGATTTTTAAATTTGGAGGCTTTAACTAAACTTAAAAAAAGATAATGTACTTCCATACGTGTTTTACTCAGAGCACATTCAGCTACCCTGAAATAACATAGTTACATTCCTAACAAAGGTTCCATAGGGAGATCTTTGAACCTCAAGAATGATGTTGGGAAAGATAAATGGTTTCCCCATGCTCAGACTACACACCTGCCCTGCCGATTCCTGCAGGCGACACCCAGCTTATCATGCTTCCTTCCCAACCCCCGACGCCCGATTGGTCATACCTGATCTTGCAATGACAAGGTGGAAAAGGCCGGGACACTCTTTGCCCACTTGATGCTCATAAAGAGAAGCCTGGCGGCTGACTCGCACACGGACTCTGTGGCCACTTCATAAAGATACATCGGGGTCCCGTTCACTTCATGGGGGTACTGGGGGGAGGGAGAAAGAGGAACACCTGCGAGTGATGGAACCTCAGCTTTGCCCCAACAGCTGACATTTCAGTGTGCTGGTTAAACAGAGCGGGCAGAGAGAATCTGGTGCTCTGTATTGGCATTCGGCTGCCTCCAAATATCTCTGTCGACAGAATCCGGGGAATGGTGCTTATTGGGGGAGGCATGTTTCTGTTCTTTGGGGGCTTCTGGCTTCCAAAGGGGTGCCTGGCTATTCTGTCCCCTGCTGTAAATTTCCCTTGGACTGAGCCAAGTACCAGGCCTGGCTCCCAATTTAGACAAGAACGGCTTGCATTTGTGTAAATAAAAATAGATGTGAAAAAAGTATAAATTAATAGGCATCCCAAACACAAATATGCATATGAGTATTTTTAGAAAGGATTAGTATATTATGGAAATATTTCAATTAGACATCTTAATCATTCACAGAGCATTCCCATTCATAACTGACAACATATTCATAACACTACTTTCCAGAGCTTATTATACACATCAAGGGTAAGAAAGCGATATTAAATATTGTGCGTGTGTATGTGCCCAGGTGTCTGGCTCCCCTGCAGTGTGAAGCTGCAGCTGGCCTCCTCTGGGGGAAATCCTGGGTTCTCCTTCAGTGGGGGCCTTGGGAGGGATCAACTCGAGGCCTGGAGTGCAGTCCCTAGGTGGCAGCCTTCCCAGGTACTTCAGGCATGTCCCTGCTGGTAGGGCCAATCCTGGGAGTGGTTTAAAAGTGGGCAGGCAGCACGGGGGGGGGGGGGGGGGGGATAAAACAGCCCTCCTAACAGTGATTTCTGCATTTTTCTCTCTTATATTATAGACCCCAGGGCGCCTTGGGAGGCTCCTTCTCCCAGGTGAGGAACTAGTGTTCTAGTTGGTTCCGGCCTGTGGGGGCATCTAAGGCTGCACTCGGAGGATTAGACAGTTCCACTCACCAACCGGTTTAGAGTTCCCTAAAGGTGCAGGTTTCTGACATCCACCCCGCGTTCTCGGGAGCGCGCGTTTGTCGCTGCTCCAAGGGTGTTCTACTGTGCACTAAACGTCAGTTGCCCCCACCTTTTCCTGGCCGCGTCTCAGCTCTGAACAGAGCGTATCTACTCCACCTCCCTTTCCTCAAAAAGGAGTTTCTTTGGACCCAGCAAAGCCACTAACCTTGGGCGTGGGCTGAGCCAGGCTCACGAGGGTCTGCCGTTCGGGGGTGGCAGACACTGCGGCCAACTCCAGACCGTGCGGCTCCAGCTGCGTGACTGCAGTGAAGAAAGCGGGAGCTGGCAGCGCTGCAGAGGGGAAGTGTGCAGCGGCCCCGTTGTCTTCCTTGTGTCCACGGAAGTAGAGGGCCACCTGTTTGCGGATGGTGGACGTCCGAGGCCCCCGCTCATGCTGCACCGCTACAGAGAAGCACATGGGCACAGGCCTGGGATCACAGGCACGCTGACACTTGGATGCCACCCGGCTGCCCCTCCATCGTCCCGTCTGGGCCCCTCAAGGTCACTCAGGAGCGAGAGAGGGTACGTGATTCAGCACGATTTCCCCCGATACAGGTGGGAAGCAGGGGTCTGAGATGGACAAGAGTCAGGAAGGTGCTCAGCGGTCCTCCCCTCCCAGGGATTCCCAGGGAAACCAAGCATCCTATGGGCCTCTGGAAGAACAAGCTGCCCTCCTCCCATCACCAAAAAAGGGAGCACCACTCACAACCAGGTCCGCAATTCTCCCCCACAAATGGTTTTGTGGCTTCCAAGGCCCAAAGAGAAAGGACCGGAGCCCACAAACCCTGGGGGATGGAAGGGAGAGTATGCCGGAGGAAGGCAAGGGAGATGTGACAATTACCACCACCAGTTTAAACAAACAAATTAATTCAGGGTAATCTTCCTCCGCAGAGCGTGACAACTTGTCAACACACAAGTTCAACAGGTTGGATGCTCCCTCCTGCTTTCACAGCAGGGGCGGGAGACGGTGCACTCCAGACAGGCTCCCCCTCAAGCAGGTCCCCACCGCAAGGCTCACTCTGCATGGTGTCTCCAGGCTCTCTTCCACCTTCCCCCAGTCCCCCGGTGCTCTTGCCAAGTTCTGACCCTCCCAAGTTCTGACCCTCCCAAGTTCTGACCCGGGAAAAGGCGGGAAGTACACTTTGGACCACTTTCTGGGCCCTGAACTTCTGGAAGATCCAGGTCTGGGTCGAATTTGGGCCTCAGAGAAACGGGGTGTTGACTTCACCCTTAAAGAGTGTGTCATCCTGCCTCTCTAGCCCCTTTTCTCTCTTCTTGTCCACCAAGCATAGACTCTTGAGACGCTTAGGGCCAACTCACTGGCCATACTGAATTTGCCAATGAGGACTGGAAATCTCCCGTTTTCCTGTCTCTGAGCTTGGAGAGTTCCAGAAAGACTTCAGCGACTGTGAGACCTCAAAACGTTACTAAAGACTGCAAATGGGGTTTGGAGCCTAGGAAATATGCACCTGAGCTCGGATGCCTGCCCTCTAACACTCCCTTAGTGTGATTTGGGGCGCAGGTTTCCCATCTGGGCCTGGGACTTGGGCTACAGTTAGGTCAGCTGGGGACTGCTGCTGAGTCTCAGGGGGCCTACAACTGACAGCCTGAGGCCATTTTCCAGCATCTGGAGAGAAGAGATCTGCTGGGGAAATGATTTACATGCATAGGAGTGCCGTCTATTTGCTGTACATATAATTTACTTACTACTCAATCAACATTAGAAGAATAAAGACATGTACTGATTACCATCTTTGTTCATGTTGACTTCCAAACACTTCTTTAGTCGACACGCCCTGCACTGGTTTCTGTGTGTCTTGTCCACCGGGCATCCTCCCTGGAACAGATCACAGGCAGTCAGAGACCCCAGGGCCCTTAGGTGGGCACCGAACCCGGTCCTGGGGTGGGGAGGCCCAGCGTGGGGACTCTGGCCAGCCACCGACCCAGCACGGAGGTTCAGACCCAGTGAAATGGGAAAGCTTTGAGCACTGGCAGGGCCAGGTAAGCAAGGCACTTGGGATCCCCAGGGTTGGGACAAGAAGACCAGTTCTCAACCTCAGAGAGTTGGTCAAAGAGAATGGTCATTCCTGACTTCCAAGATCTTGCTGGGACTAAGAAGCAAAAGAAGGAAACAGCTGCGGGGGTGGGGATGGGGTGGGGGGATAATTTTCAGGACCGGAGACAGCGACCTGGTCCTGAGCTCTGCAAGAAGTGGCCTCTGCCTGTAGGCTAAGCCTGGTGCCATCTTCTGAGTGAGCCCATTGCTCTGACAGATAAACCTCCACTACTCATTCTTCTCTACCCTATGTCCTTTCCTTTGCTTTTGTAGTTAAGCTGTTCTTACACAACCACAAAGCTGAGCCAACCCTGAGGTCCTATGCTCAGCCTTGGTCCCTGGCAGAAGCCATTCTTGGAATGAGTCAGCAGCCAGGATGTTTAGAAGGACAAGGCCTACAGAGAGAGTGTGGGGGCCTGAGGAAAACTCAGGCGGACTTAGGGAGACACCACCTAACAAAAGATTATATACAGGCAGTAACAAACAAGATAATGGGTAGAAAAAAGATAGTTGCTGCTTTACAAATATTTATCTCACAGGAATAAGCAATCAAATGTCTAATGTGATTTTCTGCGGAGTAAAAAGGTAAATGCACCTATTTGGCTGGGTGTGGTGGTGCACACCTTTATTCCCAGCACTGAGGAGGTAGAGGCAGGTGGATCTCTGTGAGTTCCAGGTCAGTCAGCACTACATAGTGAGACTCTGTCTTGAAGAAGAAAAAAAGCATTGACAGATAAGGCTCCCCCTTCCTTATTTAGTGCAGGGGTTGGCAGCAGCCTGTATTAACCACTGAGCTGCATCCTCAAATGGCAGGGATTGGAAACAGAGTCTTCCCATGCTATAGTTAGGATGACCTGGACTTTACTGTCTTAATGAACTGACTGGTCTTAAATTTGTGACCCTCCTGCTTTGCCCTGCCACCATGGCCAGTTCAGACAATGCTTCTTTCAGTGTTTGTTTGTGTCTTTACTGAGGGAGAATATCTACAGATACATCATGTGTATGAGTTTTTGTTTGGAAGAGCTGAGGATAGAACCAGGGCTGGTCAAGCATCCCTCAACCAAGTGACACTCCTAGCCTTCTGCGTAAGTGTTTTATACACAGAAAAGGATTCTTATTTTGCTTTCTAATTTTAAATATTCATAAACACTGAAATAGGAATGAGTGCATTTCCTCCCTGAAATATCTGTAAGGAAAATGACACGCGAGAACACACGGTTTCATACAGTCTTCTTTGTGCAATTAAAAACAGGTTGACTTGGGTGGCTGGGATGTAATTCACGGTACATACCCAGCATGCATACACATCCAACCAAACCAACGCAAGATGTGCCAATTTGTTTAAAGTGAAGGTAGATGGATGTCCATAATGAGTGTTAAATGTCAGCATTGTTGTTAATAAGAAAATAGAATGGTCTTCACTTAGTCTTAGAGCAAGAGAAGAAGTACATGAATTTGTAGTATCTGGGAGAAAATTAGAGCATATTTGGTCAGCAGCAAAATAATTCATGGTTAAGAGTTTCAAATTATTTATTATTAGATGCAGTTGAATACCCAATTGGAATGATGTCTTCTCCAGCATTATGATAAACATGTAAAAACAAAATGCCTCAAGTGGGTTTTCAAATCACATCCAATGTATATAAGTACCTGGGGCCAGTGAGACAGAGGGAGGGAGCCTCCGTTTGACTCCTGTATTCTTTTCACCACGGAGGTGACACAGAACAGATAGATTTGCTATCACCACTTTGCAAGCTCTTTGAACTGAAACAAATGTCTCTGAATTGATAGCCATCTCCTTAAAAAGCAAAAAGATTTTCCAATTCTGTCTGTTGCATACAAGTATAAGACAATATGGCCTGGTGTGGTGACCCAAACCTGAAGTTGAGGCAAGAAGATCAAGAGTTTCAGGCCACCCTAAGCTGGGTCAAGACAAACACCAGCCATCTAAGTAGATCCCCGTTCAAATCTGTTGCTCCACAGAATCTCATACCTATGGAGCATGTGCATAATGTGACATTAATGAGCTAGACACTGAGAACCCAAGAAAGCAGGTAACAGGGGTGCAGAGGTCACAACAACTTATCTGAATGCATATGCCTTCTTGTGTGTGCTGCCAAACAAAACCTATCAGAAATGGCTAAGAGCAGACATTCCAGTTGAGCAACTGTAACTCTCCAGCACCGGAGGGCTATGTGAGCTGATATGTATCCTATACACAATTAGTGGGTATTTCTCATCATTCGGTTGCCAGAGACTGTCCCCTGACTAGGACACTCTTGGACATCTTAGTACTACATGCCTCTGCAGAGGATGAGCAAAGTGTGGGACCAGCAGGCTGATCTCCTAGGTTGCATGAGCCACTGAACTGGGAATGGAGTCACAGGTGGTTTCTGTTAGCTCTGGTTGGAAGCTATAGGTGGGCTCAGTTCATACCCTAACGGCCCTGTGTCTGTGAGCTAGTTCAGCCTGGACCAGACTGAAACACAACTCCCAACTCATCTTGTGAGTAGACAAGGGAAGAGCGAGGAGAACTTGATGGGCTCCTAACTTCCTCTGAGCCTTCTCTTTCTGCCACCCTGCACTTTTCTGAGCCATGCAGGTGCTCAGCCCTTACACCTGCCCATGCCAGAGCAGCCCGACCCCGCATCTGCAAGCACATGCCTTTCAAGTACCCAGCATTCACTTTGAGGCCTTAGCTAAAGGTAGTGGTGACCCTGGCTCAGATGCACTATCCGAGGATGCTGCTAAGGATGGAGTGGAGGGTGGGCAGGCAACCTAATGGGCCCTTTCTTCTGCTTGCTACTTGGGCATTAGATTCTAAAATTCCTTGAGATCTTCATACAGGCTTTTCAGACTGGGTGTGGGCAGGGCCTCTTTACTCAAAGTCAAAATGTGACCAAGGAATTAAAAAAAAAAGTGCAGGAAAACCGTGGGAGTTCTGACTTTCCTCTGTAAACTCATCTGCTTCCCTTAACCTTATGTGGCCTTTTCAGAGCCAAAGGGCCACCCAAAGCTGAAGGTGGGGAGGAGGAAAGAGGACCCAGGTCAGGGAATTCAGAGGAAATGGGGTGGGGTGGGGTGGGATGGGGCACAAAGGGGAGCCGGGCAGCTCAACCCCAGGGAGTACCTGGTTTCCGGACTTGCAGACATAGGTCCTATTCCTTCGGATGCTCCTCTTGAAGAACCCGGAGCAGCCGTCGCAAGCGTAGACCCCGTAGTGCTTCCCGGAGCTGCGGTCACCACACACTTTGCAGGGGATATCTAAAATGCGGCCTGAAACCGCAGGAAAGACCGAAAAGAGAGGGAAAGGGTGAGAGGGAGCACGGGAAGGAGGAGAGGGAGGAAAGGGGAGAGGGGGAGAGAGATGCTAAGCAATCTGACCTCTGAGCGGATTAGCAGCGGAGCTGCGGTAAAAGCAAATAATGAAGAGATTTTATAGCCAAACTTTTTTCCTTGAGCAAGTGTCAGCTTCCTACAATGAGCATTATTCATGCACCGCTACATGTATTTGGGTCTCCTCTAATCGCCGAGACCCATTTTGGAATAAAAGATTACAGCAGGCCCGGGCAGCAGCTCGGCCCGCTGCTGCCTTTCTGCTCCGCCGAAAGTTTGGCCGCCTCCCTCCTTCGTTCTTGCATTTAGTAGGAAAAAAAGTTGTTAGTGAGTGCGCAAGGAGACAAACTTGAAATGTAAAAGGGAGAAAAAGAAGAAAAACAAACACGGCTGGAACTGGGGACGGCAGCTGGAAGGCAATCGAGTTTTCTCTGAGCTGAGCCCAGCGGTTGTTATTATTAGGGTTATTATTGTGATGCTAATCTTCAGATTATTAATGATAATAAGGGTAGTGGTAATTGCCCAACTTTCTCTTTACCTATGGAAAAATGCTTAGTGCTTCCCATTTGAGAAAGTATTTCTTTTAGGGAATAAGTTGAGGGGGAGGGAAGTAACCACCGGTCTGAGAGTAAGAGCTACCCGATTTGTGGCTCTCCAGATGGGGTAGCTGGGGGGGGGGTCACCTATGCTTCTTCTACCCCCAAATCCTTTCCCTCTAAACACTGGTCTCTCCTCCCTTGTCCTGGGTGCATCTTCCTCTGAGTCTTCTGCTGCTGGAGGAAGGGGGCTTGTTGCTTGTTTTTTGTTTTTGTTTTTGTTTTTTTTGAATGGCTTCAATTTTTCTGGGATTGCTACCCCCCACCGAAGAACTATGTTTGGACTCTCCAAGCCTGGTGAGGCCTCAGCTCTGAAAGGGGCGTTAGGTAGAGGAAAATAGGAAGGTGTGTGTGTGTGTGTGTGTGTGTGTGTGTGTTTTATCAGGTTTCAGTCCAACAAGTGCCTGAAGCAATTTACTGATGTAGAAATTCTTCCGAAAACAAAGGGAATATTTGTAAAAAAGTGTTAACATCATTTAAAAATAGTTAATAACAATTATTCCCATCGACACGGGTCAAAGGCATTCCCAGTCCGGGCCCTGACTGTCTTGGCCCTCTTGGGAACCCGGCAACCGCTCCTGGAGCACCCAGATTGGGGGCAGGAGAGGAGGCAGTGGGAAGCACTGAGCCAGCAGAGTTGGGGAAGTAAGGGCTCTGTCTGCCGAGGCCGGGAGGCGGCCCAGGGTAGGAACTGACTCCGGGATCCCGAGGTGCCTGGGCGGGCTTGTTCGCGTAGCCCTGGCCACAGCCTCAGGTGGAGGAGGGGCAGTGCGGGGGACCCGGCAGGGGGAGGTCGGTGAGGACCCGGCTCAGCCGGGGTAATTACAACCCCGCCGCAGCACCTGCCTATAGAGCCACCAGTGACCCGTCAAAAAGAGTAGCATGGGAATTCGGACGGCGACAAAGGCTGGCGGGGGAGGCATTCGGGGTTGTGGCCACCGCTTCGGCGCCCCTTCTCCCGCAGGGCAAGAACGGAGACTGTTGGGGGAGGGAGGGGCTGAAGAGAACCAAGCGTGGGTCTTGTCCTCCACCCCCTGGGGCCTGTCACTACTCCCCAAACAAGTCACAGTCGCGCCTGAACCTCGGTCTGCTGAACCTCTGCTGCTCAGCACTCCCTCTGGAAACAGTCAACGAGGGGCTCACGTCTTTCGGCACAACCCTGGCGCTCTGGTCGCCTGGGGTCCGTGCTAAGGGTTCAGTAGCACTGTCGCCCTAGCTGCTCTCCTCTTCCCCGTCGCACTGACGCTGATGACAAATGAGCCCATGGAGAAAGCAGTGGTGGGCCCTCTTGCCAGGCTTCCCATCCAGACTGGAGGCTAAGGTCATTTATTTCTAGAGAACCCAAGTGGGGCGGGAAGACCAGCGTCGGGTGGGTGACCCTTTACAAGCTTATCGGTCGGATGCTCGACTGTCACCATTTGGTCTTGCTGGTCGGCCTTGTTTAAGGATGACTTCCCAGCCCCAGCAGAGGAGTAACAGGGAGCTGGACTGGGGCGGCGGAGCACGGAAGGGAGAGAAGCGAAAATTCCAGGGCACGGAGGGTCGACGCCTCAAACTCCGCCACCCAGGCACGTTAAGGTGACTTGGGGTCACAGACAAGCTGGTTGACGGCTGCAAAGCTCCTCTCTTTTAGCAAGCCGAGCGAGCTCAGACCTGAGTCAAGCCGAATTTCCTGAGGCTGGAAAACGGTTCTTAACTTCCCTCCCCAGGGGGTCCCCTCGGGGCTTTTTGTGTGTCATAATTGCCTAAAGATATATGGCAGCTTCGATTACTGTAATTACCATCAGAGGCTGTTGAAAGAAGTTAGTCTGAACTGCAAGGGTGACTGGCCAGGGTCTTGTTACCACCCAGGCGGGGATCCCGGTGACAACGCTCTGCTCTCCAGCCGCGCTAAGACGAAGACCTCCCTGCCCCGCAGGGTCCAGACCCGCCTGCCCCGCAGCCAGCAGACTCTCACAGCCTGGGCCACAGGGCCTTAGGTTTCTGCTAGCCGCAGCCACGGTCAGAAAACCTCCTAGGTGAAGCGGCGAGAGTGCCAGGGACTTACCACCTTTCCCTGAGAGCCACTTCTACCGAGCCCTCGAGGCCTTCAAGATCAAACTCGGGCTTAGCAAGTTAGAAAACTGCTTAGAAAGCGTCCTCGTACAACAAGTGCCCACTCTGATCCCCCAATTCGGGTAGTCTGCCTGCGTCTGTATAGCTTACAGAGTCCGGTGCAAACCTGGAAGCTGAGCTTCGCGCCCACTCTCCTCATCTCCTAAGTCCCACCTTTTCAAGTTCTTTGGAAGCTTCGCGCTTTAAAAGAGCAAAAGTCCCAAAGATCTTTCCTGTTTAGCTGTTACCTATGCTAAGCTGTTCCAGGGTGAACGTGTCAAGAGGCCAGCCCAGGCCCTTCCACTTCATTTTTTGCAATGGATACTTTTTATAATGCAACGGGAATGGCCTCCGTCTTCTGCTTCCCTTGGGGAAAGCACACAGCCAGAAAAAATTTTAAAATTTAAAAAATTTAAAAAATTTTTTTTTTCTTTTGGAGCCTGTCCGACTTCCCAGAAATCCGAACAGCTAGGGCACGGATAGGCCGAAACTAAGGGGAACCGCGGTCCTGCACGAGTCGGCTGTGCCCTGTGACTGTGAATAAGGGTCCTTCTCCAGGCTCTAGCTCTGAGCGTTTCCTTTATTCTCGGTTTGTTGACGTTCGCTTTATTCTAATTTTTTTACTCAGCACTCAAACCAAAACAAACGCACAAAATGAAAACACACCCTACTTCTTACGGGGTAGGGAGGTGGAGGCCGGAATTGCATCCATCCTAAGTGAGACTTCATTACCAGTCCTCAGAAGTAGCTAGGACTCTCCCAACTTTTCAAAGACTCGGGACAATGAGGGCGAGTGAAGGGGGGGAGGAGGCGGGAAGGAACTCACGGAGAGCGCCAAAAATGCTATAGGAGAAAACAACACGGGTGCCTGCAGAGGTCCAGGGTGCGTGGGTACTCCGCACAGACCTTACAACTCACAGCCTCCCGCTCGCGGAAGGCGGGAACTGAAAAGCCGCCGGGAGATTGGAGCACCCTGTAGACTCCTTCCCAAGGCCGGCTCGCTCGGGCCTACGCTTCCCCCAGGGTCCGCAGATTCTGTGCCCGCAAATGCGCTAGCCCGTGCGAGTAGCCTTGCACTCCTGTCTTGTCTCGGGAAGTCGGCAGAGGTCAGCTGCCGCAGCTGAAGGTTCCACCAGAGAGGGAGTGGAAGGAAGGGAAGAAGAGTCCCGAGTGAGCAGGCCGCGGACTTCCGCGGGTGCTGGGCTCCGGCTCGGAAAGTCCTTGGGATTAGGGATTTGGTCTTTTCTTTGCTAGAGTAGCTCGCCATACTTTACATTCCCCAGTTATGACCTACGCGGATTTAGGATTAAGAAAAATGTGACTTTTAAATGGTTTCTGCTTCCCAGTTTTGCAGGATTATTTGAAATAGCTAGAAACGGGGTGCAAAGCATTCCACTCAAAATCCGCTTTGCAGAGTTGCTTTTGCGCTCGGGAACTCCGAGTTTTGAGCAGCAGCGTTGTTGTGCGGTCGCCTGGAGCTGCGGCCCAGTTCCCGCCCCCGCCTCACCCCTCCCACCCTCAGCACCTGGCAGCTAAATAGAAACCACTCGCTGGACCGGTGGGCTGCAAAGGGTCGCAACCTTCCCCACACGCCGGGGAGACCGGGGAAAGCAAGCGTCCAGAAGCAACAAAATTGCTCTCTCAGTTTCTCGAAACGCTCCAAAGCAACAGTCTGAGGGGAGCTAGGCCAACGGACACAGAGTCCCAAGCTGGGGCTCAAATTCACAGAGCTCCGGGAAGGACCTCCCCGGCCTCCCAGCCTGCCCTCCCCAGGCCACGCGCTGGGACCCCCGCGGCTGCCGGAGAGGTACCCACTTGTTGATCCGGCGGGCTTGCTCATGCTGGCGGTCCCGGGGCGCAGCGGTTGGTGGGCACCGCCGGTGTCCCGGCCCGCAGCGCCCACGTCGCCGCCGGGCGCCGCGGCTCTCCAGCCGCCCTCCAGCCTGCAAGGCTCCCGGACGGGACAGGTGGCTATTGGTTGCGCGCCGCCCTGCTCTCCGGGCGATCAGAATTCGTTCCACAGTGGAAATGGAAGCATCCTTAAGTTTCTTCCCGGCTCTAGCAAAACCGCCACTGCTAGGGATGCGGCTTGTTATGGACACGGACTTGAACGGACAGATGGAGAGATGGACAGACGGGCTGGAGAGGGAGGACAGCACGAGGGGAATGCTGAAGGATGGAGATGGAGACACGGAAACGGTTTTCCTACGGAGCGAAAAGAGCGAGATGCCTGTCTTTCCCCATTCCTATTACTCAGTTTCCAATCTCTCCTTCCACACAGGCGTGCCCAGGAGCAGATCTCTACAGACCGCTGATCTTCAACGGAAAAGCCGAAAACCACAGTCGCGGTCTCCGAGGCGGATGAGCTCCGCGCTGCCGGAACCCGGACGCCGAGAGGGGAAACTAGATGGCTGGGAGATCTTCCAAGGGAAGAGATGGCCAGGTCCGAGTTTCCGGGGACAGCCGCTCACGCAGCAGCGAAGGGTCCCCGAAGTTCATTACCCTGTGACTTTGTGCCTGCCGCGGCGGGCCGGATCTCGGGTAATATCTCCAGAAGCGCTCTGACAGGCAGCCGCGGGGAGGGGAATAGGGCGTCCCTGGCCCACTTAGCTTTTCCCCCAACTCCTGGCGGGGTCTGACGTCAGCCATGTGCGGGGAGGAGATGGGAAGAGGGAGGGGGTTAAATGCTAATGATATTAATGAACCTCCAAGCGGCTTCCAAAGAAAATGCAGGCGCTCTGGGAGCTGACGAGTTAGAGTGTGAATACGGCTCGGTGCGTGCGTGATGGTGAGGACGGTGCCGCTCTTACAATAAAAATGAATTTTTATATTTCACGGCAAGGGAGAAGGGGAGGGGTGACGGGTCTCTCTCTAAACGCTTTCCCCCCTCTCTCCAGAGTGCCAGACAGATAGATTCGTGGAAGAAATTGGGTGGCTGTGTCTGTGTGTGATTGTGCGCGCCCGGACATGGTCATGTGAGTTGGTTCATTGTTGGTACCGCGCCCCTTCTGTTGGGTAAAACTTGGATCTGGCCCGAGGTGAGTAATTTATTCATTTTGCAACTATCTCTGGAAAGCCAGAGCTGAGGATGCGGACTTAGGGCCTGGGCTGGGGTCTTGCGGTCCCTCGGTCTTGGCGTGACGGGTTTGGGCTCCGGGAGGGCTTCGCCAGCTTCTTGCAAGCGAAACCGGCCCACCCGGAGCTGGCGGAGTCCTCTTGCCTCCATTATGTGTACGGGAGCTGCAGGGTGGCGAAGCCTTCCCCCCAGCGGTTGGTCCCCAGCGGGCATAGCTGGCTTCCCCCTGTAGGCCTGGAGACTCCGGAAAGCTCCGCCACCTTCCTCCCGACCCCGATCATCTTTCTGGAATTCCAGAGCTCTCTGGCGTCCTGGTCGTGGCGCGGCGCGGGGACAGCGCGCGCCGAGGGAGCGGTGATCTCCGTTCTCTAAGAGATTAATTCTATTTAAGCTCCCTCGGCAGCTTGAACTTGTCGAACAAGAGCTTGCCAGCCTCTTCTCAGGGCGTGGGCCCGGCCAGAGGTCAGAGGTCACGCCTCTGACTATGCAACAGAATTGTGGGGGAGGGGAGTAGTGGTCCTCTCTCCCACAGGGCGCTGGCCCACCCCCGCCGCAGCTCCCTGTCCACATGGCCTCAGTGTGCTTGCAGTGCCTACTGGCGTCCCCCGAGTGCCCGCCTGGCGCTGCAGGTCCACGGCTCGGGTCCCAGACCACAAGAGCTGTGCGCTAGGGGCGCCGGCTGCAGCACGTGATCGCAACTTTCCCCAGCTGCCCGAGCCCCCAGGCAAGAGACCCTGCGCACCACACACAGCAGTCACCTGGCACCGGGGCCGGCCACCCGGAACAACAGAGAGGCGGGTGACGGTTTCCCTTGCCATCTCTCCTCTATGGTCTTACAAACTCGGACGAGATTAGGGTATGGTGGGCATTTTTAGGTGACAGAAGAGAAAATTGCTTCCCCCCCTCCCCTTGATAGCCAATTGGGCTGCCAGCCAACCTTGCTCTCAGTACAGCTTAAACTCGAACTCGGTGCCCAGAGGGGAAAGGCATTTCGGCTAGAGACAGGGTGCCAGGCTCGGCTTTGGGTCGTCGGGTCTAGCTCTTGCCAGAAATCCAATTGTTGCTGCCGCCAACACCACCATCGGGATGTGGTGGCAGAAGGGGGGCGTTTGGTCAAGGACAAAGAACTTCAAGTGGAACTAATTTGTCACGGGCAGAGATGAGGGCAAATGGTGATGGGGACTAGATCCGGGTCTGTCTTCAGGGAGAAGTTTAAGGGTGTGTGGGCCAGAGGAGAGCTAGGAGGTTTCAGGTGTCCAGGCTGGGAGGCAGAAGGACATACTGCCCTGGATTTCAAATGACCTCTCTTGCGTGAAACAGGAGCCTGGTGACTCATTAAAGACATCAAAACTTGTGAGAAAAATATCCCCAAGCTCGTCAAAATTGTCCCCCAACCAAAACTGGGATGTTCTTTCTGCAGACACTAACTCTTGATCGAATTAGGTGCCAAGAAACCCGCTAAACAGGCAAGGGTGCACCCCCACCCCCACCCCACACAGAGAGAATGATTCAATTCTGGCAAACACCATAGGGCTGCCCACCCCACCACATATGCGTTCTGTGTTCTGGGCGTCCGACTGCAATTATCCGCGCGCTTTGCATAATTCACAATACAGTTCTGAAATCATAGTGATGACTTTCTGGCATGATTGGTTTGGTGGTAAAGGCAGCAACTAGCTCCAGAATAGACTGGCGGGTCTGAGCTTCAACCCCAGATCGGCAGAGAAGCCGGGAGCCCAAAGGCCGCCTGGCCTCTGTTCACGCCAACCGGCTGAAGGCCACAGGGACCCTGGCTCTAAACTGCGGAAATCTGGAGCTAATTGGGACACAGCTCAAAGAAAAAACCTTTAGTAGAGCAAAGACTGACTTCATTTCCCATCCACTGGCCTCAACGCGCTGCCCGCCTCATAGGAGGTGCCTCAGAATGTGGGAAAGAAAGGAGTCATTGGCAGATTTCCCGGGGGGACCTGCTCCAGGCACTGCAAGGAAACCGGGAGGTAGGAATTCAGACCCTGCTCCAACTAGCTGTGTAACCTTGAGCAAGTGGCTAGACCTCTCCGGCCTCCAGATGGGGATTTATAAAAAAGGGTTGGGACTTTGCTTAACTCTCAGTTACAAGAATTTCCCCTTTGAGGCTCTTAAGATGAATCACCCATCTCAGAAACATCTTTAACAGAGACAAAGTTTACAGGTTGGCAAAGGGGAAGAGCCATAGGTATCCCAAACTGTGCTATAACTCACTGTGTAGAGCAGGCTAACCTCACAGAGATCTGCCTGCCTCTGCCAGCCCCTTCCCCAAGCCGCCACTAAAGGCGTGGACCAGCATCTACGTTCTGCTCCCTCCCGCACACATCATGAGCCTGCTGCTCTCCACTAAGCTGGAACTTGCAGCATTTCATTGCCAGATGGTTGCATTTGGTTCAGGAGAAAAAAAATAAGAGGGAGCAACCACCAGTTCACCCGATTCATCAAATATGAGCATCCTCCATAGGAGATTAATAGCGTGGCCCCTTTCTTACTCAAAAGGATTGTGGGAAACAGACCCATCAAAAATGATGTTAGAGGTCTGGGGGTTGGCTCAGTGGTTAAGAATGCTTGTTGCTCTTTCAGAGGATCTGGGTTTGAGTTCTCAGTGGCACCTGGAAGCTCACAACCATCTGTAACTCCAGTCCCAGGGAATCTGACGCCCTCTTCTGGCCTCCACAGGCACCAGACATGCATGTGGTGCCCACATACATGCAAGGTCAAACATTCATCCATACAAACAGTATTTTTTTTAAAATGGTTTTAGAATTAGATAAATGCAGGAGATTCTGAAAAGATATAAAAGGGTGCCTCGATCAGCGAGTAGCACCGTGGGTTACACAGGGACCCTGGAAAACTGCCCTCAGCTTCAGTGCGTGCTCTGAATATGCGGCCTCTGGACTGATCCTCTTGCAGCTCTTTCCTCCTGTAGAGAGCCATCCAACCACCTTAAAGCAGGGCTTCAATTCCTGCTAACAAGGCTGCAGGAGAGCAGGTGGGAAGATTTCCTGAGCCCTGGGGCCATCTGGATGTGATGCTAAAGCTGGCATTTGCTGGCTCCCCCCCCCCTCCCCCAAGGAGCCACTCTCTCCCATCCTGCCCCTCTTCCGTGCTTCTAAATGAAAAGGACCTATAGAGCAGAGAAAGGTGACTTCCCCAGCAAGCAGATCTGTTGAAGTTGGTGGGGAACTCTGAGCCCTTTCCCTCTTATCTGGATGTTTGTTTGCATGAAGGAGACCTGTGTTCTTCACCGACTTCTAAGTTGTATTGATAGTCAGCTCCTGACTGTGGCTTGCCCAGTGGGTGGGGTCATGGGGCAGAGCCCAGCAAGCAGCAGGTACACAGTAAGGTTTGGCTAAGTGGCAGGCTGAGAGAACTGTTGCCAGGCTTGCTTCTGGTTCTTTGATTCTTTCTCCAGCCTCTTCACACGTTGCTTGGCTGTGAGCTCTACTCAGAAAAGAAAGACTGAGACCGATCCAGAAAGCAACCTCAGCTCCCCCAGAATACAATGAGTGCTGAGTTGCAGACTTTTTCTCAACACGATCTAGAACAGCATTAAGAACTGTCCTTCACTTCACACTAATGGGAAGAAGCATGTAGCTGGTCTATGTGTGACAGCCCCATCCCCTTAACAAACAAATCCTGTCTCTGCATGCACATGCACACACACACACACACACACACACACACACACACACACCACTTGGTAGAAGAAATTCAGTTCTAGAGTCAGTTAAAAAGAAACTCATCTTGAGTCTCACTGCACCTTGCACTAACAATACAATAGAAGCACCTGCCTGCTGTCAGCCTGGCTGCAATAGGACTTAGAAAGGTGGGCTGTATGAGCGAGCCTGTTTGGTGGGAGTCACAAAAACCCCACAATGGGACAGAGTTGGGTGAAAAGGTATAGAAACAGGCTCAAGGTCCCCAAACCTCAGCAGAGTTGGACTCTCTGAGATTAAATACTGACTAGAGAAGCCCAAAGGTTGCTCCACATCTGGAGAGAGACCAGCTCTCCATCCTTCTTCAGCCTCTCCATTTCCTAAGATTCACTCAGTCAGTTTGGTTTTCTTGCACCCCAGACTCTCAGAGCATGCAAATCAGAAAGAACGGTTGCTCTCCTTCATTTCACTGATGAGGGAACTGGAGCCCTTCAAAAGACAAACTCTGCCCTCAGTCACGCATCTGAAAACACAAACCACCTATGAATGCTTCTGGAACACCCATTCCACAGCGGGAAGCCACCCCTCATCCTTCAGGAAGGTTTCTAGAGCCTCCAATTAAAACAGCTTCACTCAGTTCCCACTGAAGCCCTGGGAAGTAGGAGAGTGTCCTGTGCGTCCTGAAGGCACGGTGCAGTGTTTCTGCAATCTCAGCTTCGCAC